GCATATAAGTGTATATATATATATATATATATTACTGCTTTTAAAAATATTTATAGACTATGTTATTTGAATTAAATTTAATTTGCTAAAAACAATCTCCAAAAGGAATAAATAAATTGCAATTAAGGAGACTTGTGTTACGTCTTTCTTCAATTGTATTACGTCAATTGTTAAGGCTGACTTTAATAAACAGATCAGGTTGCGTCCAGGCTGAGGACGCACTTCAGTCTCTGTTAATCTATTTACGTAACGATGACGAAGTTAAGTTAAACCATTGTCATCTGCGATCTAGCCCGTAATGATGCATTATGTCGGTCTTATACATCCGTAAAAAAGTACGCATTCCCCCCATATTTTAGTTATTTAGCCTTGGTGACAACGGGGTTAATGCATGACGACAATTTGATGTCGGCGAGATCACGGAGGTCAGCAACCCAACTGGCACGAAATGCTGTACTGGGTGACGTTTTCGATGCGACAACAGCGTTAATTATCATCATTTCCATCTTTGAACTCGTATATTTAAGCAAAAAACAGAAATGCTAAAATCACGCATGCACCGCGTAAAATCTCTGAACCTTCGTAACGATCGAAAGTACAGTACAACGGAATCGGCGAATTAATAATATAAAAATCGAATGCATTTTTTATTCTTTGCAAAGTTCAAGTTCGATTAATGCAAAGTAGTCACGATTTACATTGAGTTCTATGAAATTCGCTTTCAGTCAGTCGATTCTTCATCATTCGAAATGGACTTTTAACATATATTCCTTCCCAGAAAAAAAAATGTATGTTAAAAGTCCATTCCGAATGATGTTAAAACTAGGACAAGAAGAAAAAAAACTGGAATGTCTAATTTAGTTTGCAGATAGAATGCGTCTTTCTTCAGCTTGCAAAGAAAAATTATTAAATATTAATAAGAGACGAAAACAAATCCAGATAAGATAAATTTCGCGCCATCATACCCTTGACAAATGCGAATGATGCAAGAGTTTTCCCCGTTGTCGAAACTTTACCATAGTGCAACAAACAAAGATGGTGACGTCAGAAAACCAGGCGCATCCTGAAAATATAACTGTTATGTACAGTACATTAATAACTTGGCTCCGTAGCTGTAATTTTTTTTAAAAAAAGTCTAGTTAAATATACACTAAAGTTTGCTCACCCGGTTTAAAATTCACTTTCGAGCATTTATCTATCTAGGTATGCATAATGGGTCGATAGCCTCATTTTCCGATAAACCAGCAGCACGGGAGAGAACGTAAAGGTCACAGTAGTAGTTCACATGTTGTGCAACCAATGAGAGGACGGGATTGAGATCTTCTACGATCATCTGACGTCACAGAATACGTTCGAATAATTTCATTGTACACTCCGTGACTCTACCAGTTTTAACGCAGCCAATCGACTAGGAAGTTACGCTCGTATTTTGTGCTCAATTTTGGAGTTGTATAATAACGTGATGGTACTAAAGAATATCGAAGATACAAGAAAGATGAAGTGAGTATTTATCTGTTAAAATTGGAGTTTGTAAATGCACGACCCGCGCCGGTTTTGGTTTATTTTAATTCATATAAGAGAGCGAGCAAAACGTAAAAGAACAAATTAAAAAAATAGATTTTATGCATTATAAACTGCATTAACCGATTAAAAAGGGGGAAATTTACGTGTAAATCCCAAATATCTCGCTGAATCACCGCACTTATCACATGTTAAGAGGGGTGAGAATGTCTGACGTAATCGATCGTGACACGTCATCTCGTGATTAGGTAAAAAACCCATCTTGTGATTTCGATTATTGAATGCTTTAGTTACTGTTAAATTATTTGAAAACATTTTTAAAATGAATTACTCATATTTAATTTCTAGTTCGTTTAACTCTGCTCATCTCTTGCGAGAATTACTGGTGGAAGCTAGAAGTGAAGGTCGTGTGGCGTGTGGGGTTTATCATGCAGCTCAGATCATGGAAAAGTATGTCGTGTTCTATTTTTTATTGAATTTTTTTTTCTAATCAAAAAATATATTTGTAATTTTATACGTATGAATTTACAGATGTCCTTCTAGTATTATGCTATGCATTCTTCCACAAAATCATATGGATGATGCCGAAACGCACATCCATTCCGTTTTGATTGAAGCGTTCTGCTTCGATAATAATATCCGTTTGCTAAAGGTAATAAATCGATTTTTTAAACATTCCTTTTATGCAAGAGTTGCTTCTTATGGATCACATTTAACAAAGATGCAAATTTAATTAGGTGGATAGCGAAGAAAAGTTATCAGAAATTCTCAACATTCCTAGAAATTCATCTGGAAGATACAGGCAATTAGATTACAGATGTGTCCTCATAAAAGTAAGATTTCCTAAATAGTATCTATAGCTTACTGTTTAATTTGCTTGGTACATACTGTACCTGAAAATAATTTGTTAGATTTAAAAAATAAATGTTGAAAATTATTTTCAGCATCCAAAAGAAGTATGCAGCAAAACAGTGGAGAGTTTCATTCAATATTATAAAGAGAATTATAGTGATGCATATCCTCAACCTATATTGGAGCTACCAGTGTGAAATTGTCACTCCTCAAAAGTTGTAAGTTGCATAATAATAATAATAAACCTAAAAATGTGAGGAAAAAATTGAGATATTTATTAGTATAACATGTTTTAGGTATCAAGCATGTTATTCCGACAGCTGGAAAGCTGAAATGATCCGTATATGTTTATCGGATTCAATAATTGGATATATCTCGCATCCGATCCGGCTCATGTTTGAGCTGTTACGTGCATGACCACATGGAGTGATCGTTTTTATTCACATTCTTTGCAACATGATGTATGTCGATAGTTTCCACCATTTTGCAATATTATATATTATACAGTGTGCAAAAGAAATAATAATAAATGTTATGATTGCAGTAATTTCTTGACAAATTATTTTTAAAATTTGTTAATATTCCTGCAATCTGTTCTTTAAGAGTTAATTGTTATCAAAATATGGATGTGTATTTTGTTAATGACCATTATACCAATTTTATGGCAGATAAGTATAATGAAGATATGTCTGTTAAAAGAAACAATTTAATTATGATGTTATTTATTAAATTTTTATAAATTCTTAATGGTCAGTAATTTATTAAATATTAAAAGTATTTATTTAAATCATTTTGTTATAAGTGCCTTTGTATTTATTAAACATTAGTAGTAGGTATTGTTAATTTTATAAATATTTATTTTATACAGTTAACTAGTTCAAACTGAACTGTTTAAGATATAAATAGTAAAGGTTCAGTATTACACAAAGCTTTTTCTAAAAGCTAGCAAGCATTTCAAGGAAGGATGAGATGTCTATAATTGTATTCAGATTCATTGTTTTAATGCTGTGCATAGATTCCAAACAGAATCCAATGCAATGGAGATGAGAATTTTTTGATTCCTCTTGTTAAACAATAATTTATATATACAAGTTATTTGTATATTATATATTGTATAAGAAAAATTATTACATAAATTCATTTAAGTTATTTATTTGTTAAAATTTCAAATATATCTTTTTGTTAAATTTATATTTAAATTAAAAATGAAGGAATTATAATAAGTTGTATGAAGATGTTAATGGTGACAAGTGCACTTAATCCAAATTTATATCAATTTTGGCATATCAAATTTGTAAGTCCAATAGTAAAATAACTAACATTTTTTATCCAAAATTTCAATTAATATCTTACTGAAAAGGATAAGTTTTAACTTATGTTTTTTCAACTTTAAAATTGTTATTATTATTTTGATTGATGAAATTACATATAAATTACTTTAGATGATATAATTCTGTGCATTTGGATTTATTAAAGACAAATTATTAAAAATTTCATTTTTGAAGGCGCAGTTAAGGATGTCAGACTGTGAGATACAACCTGGCAGCTTAAGATAGAGACCACACTAAACTGAAAATAAGACTAAAATTTTAATTTATCATCATCTTATGCAAATTTTGTTACTATTTTTTAAGTGGCCATTTTACATATTTTACTATTTTGGATATAACAAGCTGACAGACAGACACATGATGTTCTGCATATAACTGAAAATAAAATTTATAGCTAAGTGATTTCAATATTTGGATCAAGTGCACTTTTTTCCAAATAAGATAGAATGTTTTATTTTAAAATTTTAGAAATTTATTGTAACATATTGTAAATAGCGCATAAATTTCGAAATTGGTTTATTTAGAAATCAGAATGACCTAAAATATTTTAGATTAATACAATTCATAAAGAATATAACTTCAATTGATTAAGAGTTTAGAACCTAGTTAAATCATGTGATTGGTATAAATAAAATTTATACTAATTTAGCAATATTTATTATATAACATCAGTTAATTGTTTCTTTCTTTGTATCAAGTCTTTATCAAATGATGGACATATAAATTTATCAATCAATAAATTATATAAATGATTAATTCTTTAAATTTTTTATAGTCATAACTGTATAATTAATAGTAATATATTTACTATTAATTATAACTATAGTATTTGAAAGAGAATATTTACTCAAAAGTTTGTTTTATATAGAGTACAATATTTCTTAATGTTTAATAAATACTTTCTTATTTATCTAAAATGAATAAGTTCTAAATATTGATATTAATAATATAAAATAACTTTTTATANCAAATAAAAAGTGTTTAAGTAAATCATAGTTTAGCTGAGAATGATAAAATCATCAATATTAAACCAAATTTAATAAATTTATTTATTCACTATGTAAAAAATAAAAGTTTTGTTTTGACAAATATTTAAAGTTGTTATAGAAAAAGATGTATTGCTCAATGCTGTTTCTTAGAACTGTATTGTGAATTTAATTAAAATCTCAAATATTTGTATGTCTTGTGTGAATTAATAAAATGTTTACTGAATTTTTAGACAATTTATGAATTATATGAATACAACTGCACATTAAAATTAATTCAAGAAATAAAAGTTTGTGTATAATACTGATTTATTATTAGATTTTCAAAGCATAATTTATCAGATATTATATCCATTTTTTTAAATATTATCAGAATTATGAAGATAATATCAATATAACAGATTTTATATCTATTAATTCTGGATAAGAATTTGAAATTCTTGATGATGCAAAATTGGATAATCACAAACTTTGCATCATTCTAAATTAAAAAGTGAAGGTTAAATCAATTTGATAACTTAAAATAATAAATGTCAACAATTTAACGATTTAAAGACTACACATTCAATACTCATTTTTTTCCTGTAGTAAATAAGCATTAGAATGTTCAATATATTTTTGAAACTATAAGATATATAATGTTTAAAAATTTATATTTGTTATAGTGTAACAAACATGCAAAAAAATTATTGAAAACATTTGAAAACTTCTTTGTTTCTTAAAATTAATAAAATGACAAACTGTTTGAAAATAAAATCATTTTAAAAACACAAGTAAAGTAAAAACTGTAATGAAATTTTAAAAAATTTGCATTTTATACAATCTCAACTTTTTTTTCATTTGGAATAAAATTCAGAAAAATTTTTTAGTTTGATAATTTCATATTCCACAAATCTCGCTTAATATAAACAGAAAAATAAAATAATAATGATAAAAATAGAGATTAAAAAGAATTAATAATTTTTAAATAGGACAAAGCTATTTTGTTTTTTTGTCCATTAGTACTCAAACAAGTTTAAATGTAGATTACCTCAGTTTATCTGTATACCTTTTTAAAGTAATAAAAATTTAAAACATTAGTCTATTAATGCATTATTTTTTTTAAATTTAAATTATTAATTTTATAGATATAAATAATAAAGCTCAGACTTATAACATTTAAAAATTAACATTTTATTGTTAGTTTATTATGAAAAATCCAAAAATGTTACAGGACTACATCAATGCTAAATAAGTTTATTGTACAATAATTTATTAATATCCATAAAAAATTTTGAGAGATATTTTAAGTATATGTATGTGTAAACAACATTTCATTGAACACACATCAACAATAGTGTTAAAAAATATATACTGTTTATGATAATGAAATTCAACACTGTTTGCACCAAACAATTTAGACATGATGAAGATGGATTAAAGAATTTTTTATTATTATTTTGATAAACTTTTATATTAAAGTTGGTAAAATTATTTTTATACTAATTTCTCCTTTTATTTCATATTAATTTGTATACACTTTATCAAAAATTTTTAATACTGATATGAGCTAAAATTAATATTTGACACCACATCATTAAAATTATTATTTACATATTTGTCAAAATTTATTGTTCATATTGATATATTTTTTTTTCAAAACAGAAATTTAAAATGATTTCATTTCAGTGAATATCATACTTTTTAGTTAAAAACAATTTTATATTTTTACATGAGCACACTAAAATGTTAATAAATTTGGATTTTATAAAAAATAAAATATTCAGTCATTATTCAGAGATCCAATGTATCAAATTTACAACTGTTAAAAAAATTTGAAAAGACACATTTATTAAATGTGATTGAAGGAATATTACAATGTAGATAATAAAATTTATTAAAATTTTATTTGTAGATATGACAATGCCATTGAATAAGATAATCATATACAGTAGATCCCCCTATAAAACCGTTTCGTATAGTTATGATTCCTATAAAAATTGTGGCAGTATCCGTAAACAACGGTAAAAATAACTCCTATAATACGTAAAACGTCATCGGGCAGCCGAACTACTTTCCCGCCGTCCGTAGCGCCACGCTACGAACGTTTAGGCGGATAAATTGAGTTTAGTATCGTCTGTTCATATAATTATATATAAATTAGGTACTGTACATATAATTATATATTAATTATATATAAATTAGGTACTGTATATATAATTATATATTAACTTAATTTATTGTAACTTTATTATAATTAAATATATATTTTTCGCCGTCTAGCGTCACGCTACGGCGAGTTAGGCGACCTATCGTCTGTCCAGTACTGTAATTTTATACATTTCTTGTGAAAGAAACATTTCTTATTTAACGGCCATAAAAATTATTTATATTAAGGATGTCTCCAAAGGTCAACGAAGTTTTCGCAGAAAAATAATATCAGAAATCGCGGCCGC